TAAGTGTATGTGTGTGTAGGTGTATGTGTGTGTAGGTGTATGTGTGTGTAGGTGTAGGTGTGTGTAGGTGTAGGTTGTGTGGTGTAGGTGTGTGTAGGTGTAGGTGTGTGTAGGTATATGTGTGTGTGTGTAGGTGTTTATATGTGTAGGTGTAAGTGTGTGTTTGGGTGTGTGTGTGTGGGTAGGGTGTGGATGTGTGTATAGGTGCAGGTGTGTGTATAGAGGTGTGTGTGTGTGTGTGTGTGTGTGGTGTGTGGTGTGTGTGTGTGTGTGGTGTGTGTGTGTGTGTGTGTGTGTGTGTGTGTTGGTGTGTGTGTGTGTGTGTGTGTGTGTGTGTGTGTGTGTGTGTGTATGTCTGCGTGTACGTGACCACTAGGATCACTCACGTGTGCCTGTAGCCATCTATGCATGTGTGTGTGTGGGAGATTGAGAAAAAGCTAAGTAAGGATGCTTACACAAGTGCATTTTCTCAAACAGAAAAACCTTAAAAGAAGACAAACATACAAAATCGCTTTTACCAAATGGAACATTTCTTTTTTGGATTCATATTTGCATTCTCCTTGCATTTAAAGACTTCGGCAAAATCTGGAGAGTTACTTAAAGATCCGTAGACCCTGAACTCCCCTGGGACATGGGAGTCTTTCATGATTTCCAGATGAGCCGCTTCCTTTGTAATGGCAGAGCACCAAACCTGTTGAAAGAGACAGTTATCTGTTAACCTAAATACTGTGATGATCCACCTTACAGCATATGGTCCTCTCTAATGTACATTAACCTGAATATTGTTGCTTATGAATAGACACAATACTGAATATCAAAAGAATTATACTAATAGCTTACAGCAATGCAAAGTAGTACTACCTGATCTTTCCCTAAGCACCCTTTTTCATTAGAATCAAGAAATCAACACATTTAATACATAATCACTTTAATGTATGAATAAAGTATAGCAAATACTGTTCATCTTATCTAAATGTATGCATTGAGTTGTTTTTTTAATAAATATCACCAATTTCACTTATCAAAATCTCAACTAATAAAGTAGACCAAATAATGTTTGTCTTATTTAGACTCGTGCATTGCATTATTCTTTTAATACATATCACTAATGTGACATATCAAAATCTCAAATAGGGATACATATAGGTAAGCAAGTAAAATACAGTATGACTCATAACACCAACCTGAGCAAAACCTAAGAAAAACAGTTGATTGTGGGTGAGCTGAATACCAGGCAATGGTGCCTCATTGCCATTCTCCTCAACCCACTGCTGGTATGCACGGTAGCTTGCTTTCAGCCCTGCATTGTCTGCTATATTTTCACCTAAATCAAATAAATTTAGATATTAACCACTCATACCACTAATATTCTCAAATTACTTGCAAAACAGTACTCAGATTTTAAAAAATCATCCTATATGCCAAATAACATTTTCATTTCCAAAGTTTATCATAATAGTACATATATAAAAAGAAGTAGTTCTTGTGAATTTTATCATAGCAGTATACGCAAAAAAGTAGTTCTACCTAGTGTCAGGTTTCCATTAAGGTGTTCTCCACGAAGCTCATACTGAGAATACTGATTCACCATGCAATGCGTCAAATTTTCAAACTTTTTTGTTGTTTCTTCACGCCACCACTTATCCAAATTTCCATTCTTATCATACTTCCTTCCTAATAAAAGTAAAGGAAATACTTTTCAGATACATTTCTTTAACAAAATATAACAGTACAAAAGAGAACTTATCTGCATTTTATTCATATTTTTCAATGTGCAGAACTGAAGTACATATAAAATTCCATTTGAATCAATATTTGTAGGTAATTCAGAAGGCCAAATCAAATCTAAAAATATCCCACTTTACAAAATATTTTAAAATCATATACCTTGGTCATCAAAAGCATGTGCTAGTTCATGGCCCATGACAACTCCAACTGCACCGTAGTTAAGAGATTTAGAGTTATTGTGGTCAAATATTGGGGCTTGTAATATCCCAGCTGGAAATACAATGTCATTCCTGTAAATATTAAAAAGTATTAATAAATAATATGCCTGTTGCTCTTTACTGTGAATCTCAAGTCTATTTAAAATCCATCAATTTTTCACTATCACCCATGAGCAGTATGATGTCATGATGCCCACAGTAGACACCACAGGCCACACAACTTTAAACCAGATTCTTTTAAAGATATCAATTTTTCAACATCTGCAGTGGAAATGCCATCCACATGAGAAAGTGGGCTATACAGTCCTCTGTACTTTTCACATTGTTGACAGCAAAATGTTAAGCCCTCTTGGAGAGGGAGCTATGGCATTTTCTCACACTCAGTGTATTTGAAATTATTCCCTGATGCCAATGATTCTTTGCACACACAATATCATACTGTCTATAGAGAAGAGCAAAAGAGTGACATATCTGAAATTAGCTTCAAATGATGTTTATGACACATATACTTTAATCTGTCTGATTCATTAACTCTTGCATTCATTTATTTTATT